AGGTTGCACACTTAATTATGTGCAAACTTTTAGAATCCATAACTTCGCACTTCGATGTCTGATTTAGGTTATCTTTTTATTTTTTATTTTTATTTTGAGTAACTTTTCAAGATTTATACATCCCAAGGAACTTAGGTGCCTTGCCTTACTATTTTCGCAAAAGAATAACCCTTATTTGGCCCCAAATTGAAATTTTAATATTTATATAAATAAAAAATTAAAATATAAATTAAAAATATAAACAAATATAACACATATATAATACATATATTATATGTAATATATGCAAAACATAATTATAAAATATATATATAACATAACTATAATATATGTAAAACATAATTGTACTATTTATTGATAAAATATGTATTTTTACATACACACATATAGTGTTGACGCAGAAAGCAGTTTGACTCGTTTGACCTTGATAGTCGAACAGGTGACTTGTGATCGGAAGGAAAAAGTGGGTCGGCCTATGGGTTGGTTTTTAAAACATTGTTTATCATACTAATTATTGTTTAATATGTCAAATATATGATGTTAAAAACGTTCAGAATTTTTTTTAATTTTTATATTTTTAGCATTTTATATATTTTTGAATTTTATTATTTAATTATGGAAACATGGATTGGCCCATTTGAACCAAATGGTTTAATTTCTTACCACCACCTAGATGAAAACACTATTTTTTTAGGTAGATATTAAAAGTATAAGATTTTATGTTATTGAAATTATTCATTTATTATGTATGGATTTAATTATAGAATTTAATGATGATAAAAAACCTTAAATATATGATTCAATGAAGGTGAATGCAAATTAATACCTTAAATGTTGGATTTAATGGGAAAGAATTGAATACATTGAATATCTTAAAATTACCTCTTTTCAACTCATTTAATATCAATAACCAACTACCTATTTGCCCTCATTTTTTTTATCAATAAATTTAAATATAGAGGGGTAAGTTTTTTCCTCAAAAATTTCCAAAAATATTTTTGAGGCTATTTGCACTTTTTAAAGTAGTATATATATATATATATATATAGGGTAAATTTCTTAAACTACCCTTATGGTTTAGCTAATTGACTAACTGTATTCTAACTATTTGAAAATTGACTAACGTTACCCCTATTGTTTCTAACAATTGACTAATACTTCCTTATCATTAGCATCCGTTAACAGAAAGACAAAAAATACCATTTTTCCCTTTATTCTTCTTCAAAATTTCAAAATAAAATAAGGAAAAGGAAAAAGAAACACTGGTTCATCAAATCCCTAACCACATTTATGGGGATACGTTTGGAGCTGGGCAAATATGGTTGACCTAGTGCAAAGTTGTTAGGGGTTGTCGAGCAAAGCCATCCTTGTTCAACCCAACTGGCAAATTCAGACCCGTTTGAGGAACAAATCTTCGTGGCGGTGAATTTTACTTAACCCAGTGCAGAGTTGTTAACTGGGTGTAAGCTTCGTCGTATCCAAGGGGTTGAACAACTTAGTGCAGACCCAGTGCAAAGTGCACCCCGACCCCTTTTGAGGAACCCAACCTTCCCTTCCTTTGAGATGCCAGTGCAAAGTTATTAATAGTGATTACTTGGAACACCAATCTTCTAGCCACTCAAGATAGAGCCATAGGGGGCACTGCTGACCAATGGCTATAATCCAAGTAGCTGCCCAGATCTAGCCCTACAAATCGTATAGAAGGGGGAAATGCTCAAGCATATTCACAGAAAACCCCCATACCAGTATCTTCCCATTGATTACTTAAAATAACATCTATTTCTCCCTCCCTCACTGTCTAGGTGAGAGTAATTGCCAACGAAAGTAGATACTGACTATGGAGCAAGGTGGGAAGATGGGCTCAGGTAGATGGCTTGGCATTTGGGAGTAATGTTCGTTCAAGGGAGAAGATAGAAAGAAACAAAACATATTATAATCCATAGATGAGAAGAAAGAGAAGGCAGAAGCTGACCTTGAACATCGGAATGATAAACACTGAGGCCGTGCCATTGGGAGAAAGAGGGAAAAAGAGAAGGGAGAGAATAAAAGAAACTAGAACCACTAGAACATTCGCCGCTGGAACAGTCACTACCAACCTTCACCACTGGAACCTCCGGTGCCTAGTCGGAAATCCTAGAGTCCACTACCAAATCATTTGTTCATTCTTTTCTTTTTTTTTTTTTCAAAGTTTCAAGAAGGAACTCCTCCAATAACTGCAAATTCAAAGAGACTTGAATCCTCATCCCATCTCTTGCTGCCTGCACAACAAAACCATCGAGGTGGAGGGTAAAATTGGGGTTTAAAAAAATATATATCACATATAAATAAACTTTGATAGAATATTAATTGTCAGAAACAGTTAGTCAATTGTCAAAAATAGTTGGATAGCGTTAATCAATTTTCAAAGTAAAGGTACACTTAGCCAATTAACTAATAAATAGTTTTGTACAAGCTTGCTTCTAATTTGAAACTTGATCTTTCTTTTAAAGCTCGGCCACAAGACAGCCCATCCAATCGTTGCATGTTAGCCTAGCCACTGAAAGCTTGAACCTCAACTTCTGAATTCCATATTGTTAAAATAAATCAAATAATTAAACATTAAGATTCATGAATTAGGATAATCAATTGTGTTGAATTCGGGTGATTGTTATTAATTTCATAATTTGTTATTGAATATTGGTTGAATTTGGCATTAATATCGGAGAAAGAAATCAAATAATTAATTATTAGGATAAATAATTTTGTTGAATTTGGGTGATTCAAATATTGTTAATGTCATATTTTGTTATTGAATATTGGTTGAATAATGGGTGATGCATTTGGTGTTAATTATACTAGTGAGTGACTAGTGAGATGGTTGCTATTATTAGGATTGAGTGATTAACCTCTATTTATCATTTTGTATTGAAACTTTGTTAGATTGTTGATGCGTTTGTTTTTAATGTACGGCATGTATTGTCTTAAATTTTTGAAGGTTTCAACTTTGAAGTATTGTTTTTTTTTTTTGATTAATTTTGTTTTATATTTATTCTTTTTTGAAATTTTATTTATTATGCATGTGTTTAGAACCATGGTCTCTGGGTGTTTTTTCAATAAACGTTGTTACATAGGCAGCATTTCTGCATTTCATTCATCATGCTGATCTATATGCATAGAAACTTGCAAAAGCTAGCATTGATTTATGTGCATGCTTGTCGTTGGGGGAAGCGTGATACTTCCCCCCAACAATTAAGCATTTATTCACTATTATGATGATGTGGTGTCTAATGACGCCTAATTGTCAATAAATGATTTCATTATTATTTTTCTTGATTTTGCAAATAAATCAAAATACAAATTGTTTAGTGAATAAACAAAAGCTATACCAAACATAAACCACCCAGTAGAATCTCTCATTTGATAATGAAGATTTGGTCGGTTCGATTCTCTAAACATTGAAAGGTCTCAAAATCATCGTCAGATGGAATTTTCCTTTATTGTTAAAAGATTATAAATAACGAAGATAACATGATAATCTAATACTTTAATTTGGTCACTTTGCAAAAACTCATATGCAAGGATTAAGGTATCAGTATGATACTCCCAATATGGGATGTATCGTATCCGTATCCATGGTCATGGATGTAGGACATGCCATGATTGGATACATATCCCATAAGTCATGCGTATCAATATGATACGCCTTTGTATTAGGCCATATCGCACCATATCGATGGATATGGTTCGATTCACAATGATATGGAGACATATGCCTAGTTTGACAAAACTATATATTGACTACTTTTGGATTGTTTTTCATCTTTAATAAAAAAAAGAGTATTATGAAAACTAAAATAAATAATTTATGATTTATTTTTTCCAAAAATTTAATAAAAACTAAAATTATAAAAATAATATATTTCATCTACTTTAGATGAATTATATATTTTATTTTGAACATAATTTTATGTTAAAAATGAAAACATAGATTATTTGAAAAAATAAAAATACTAAATAGAGTTATTAATACTAGCTATTAATTGAAATACTAGTTATTAATTGAAACAATAGAGTTATTATATAAAAATACTAAATAAATAAACTGACCCAACAAAATTAATGGAAAACAGAAAATTATAATTATAAAAATTGAAATGAATAATTTAAGATTTAATTTCTTTAAAATATTTAATAAAACTGAAAATTAAAAGTAATTTATTTTATCTACCTTAAATGGTTTATTTGATTTATTTTGCAATTATATGTAAAATAAAAGCATTATGTTAAAAATGAAAACATATTTATTATTTAAATAAAAAATACTAAATTAATAAATATTTCCAAAATTTAAAAAAAATTGAAAATTATAATTATAAAAATTGAAAGAGTGATAATTATTTTATGATGTTTGAATGTTTTAGAGTCCCAACATTATTTATTGTAATATTTCTCTTCATATAACCTATGCATTTTTTATGTGTTTATGTCTTATTCATAGATAATTCAGCTTTTGGTTCAATATTATTAATGTATTTATGTGATTTGTATGCATTTCATTAGCATATCCAAGTATTTCTATGTACATATTTGGTTCCGATTACGTTTATTGAATAAATGCTGCCAGATAAACACCCCATTAGCAAATGCATCATCTCATTAATTGCATATATATGTATCCATACTTGCAAAAACAAATATCGATTTTTGTGCACCTAAAATTTCATTTTAAAAATTCAAATAGGCGTTTATTAGCACTTTGCTAATTGCTAATGTGGTGCCTAATATAGTGCCCATGTGTCATAAACGTCCTCATTAATTGCTTTTTTCCGTACAAGTAAAAAACACCCTTTATATCATATCCAATTTATCCAATACACATATACTTTACCCTTGCTCGAATGTACCAGATACTCAATTTTCCACCTTTCCACCAAGATCAGACGGTAAACAATGGGCATTCAGGTGACTCGGAGCTTTCATGATGGCCCTTCTTGGTGATGGTTAATATTTTCCTTCTGGATACTGGATATAAAAATCTTACACCATTATAGTAGTATAGTACTAAACTCGAGGACGCTGTAACTAACACGCCTATGGCAGCATCACTGCTTAGCCTTTCAGGGTCTATAAACACACTGAGAACACCTTTTCCCTTGAAATCAGAATTCAGGAAACCTATTCTCTCTCTGCTTCTGAGAGCTGCTCCTGTAGCTTCCATGGCTTATGAGAAGGAGCTCGCAGCTGCAAAGAAAGCGGCCTCTTTGGCCGCTCGGCTCTGCCAGGTAAGTCTCATCTAGTTTTGTTGGAAGAAGTTATAGATATCAGCGTCCGTTCTGTTCTGCATTGATACTCTTGTTCTGTATTTCGTGTTTTTTAAACGGCTTAAAATCGTTATATAAGTAAAGCCCATATCATAAAATGTCTGTTTGAGTTTTAGCCAGAACCATTTTATGAGTTTTCCGTATCAATTTGGCTTTAGTTATTGTTCTCTCTCCTTGTTTATGCGCGTTAATGGGGATGACTGAGCGAGGTAGGAGTGTGGCTTTATGCGTATTTTTCTTTTTGGATGCGACTAAGTGTGATTCGTGAAATTAGGTTGGAGAGAAAGCTCCCACGGATAAGAAGCTTTTAACGAAACCTATATCGGTTTTTCACAGTAAATAGTTTGCAAACATTTTGAACGATGAAACGCCTGTGTGCCTAGTCTGATTCTCTCCTTAGTTACCAATCCAAGGAACATGTAAACATTTCTTTCTTCTCCCACACTTCATTCTATTCAAGGTTTTTTGGTGAACTCTTTGAGAGGGGAAAATTAACACAAGCAAACACAACTTTCATTGCTTTGATACCAAAGAGACTGGATGCAGTTCAGCCTAAGGATTTTAGGCCTATAAGTTTGGTGGGAAGCATGCACAAAATCATATGTAAGGTGTTGGCCATAAGAATAAAAATATTCTCTTTTCGATGATATCTCCAAATCAAGGGGCCTTTATTTTTGTGAGACAAATAACTGATCAAATTCTCATTGCCAATGAATGTATAGAGTTTAGAAGAAGGGGGGAGAAAAAGGGGCTATCTGTAAGTTGGATTTAGAAAATGCTTATGACATGATAGATTGAGATATTTTGATGGAAATTCTCAACTGTAGGGGTTTTGGAGTAAGATGGTATAGATGGGTGAAGGGTCACATTACTTCATGTTATTTCTCAATTTTGGTGAATGGAATAACTAGGTATTTCTTTCTTGCTAAAAGGGGCCTTAGACAAGGAGATCCTTCGGCCCCCTTCTTTTTTACCTTGGTAGCTGATGTTTTGAGTGAAATGATTCTGCTAACTATTTGCTAAGAGGTTGGGGAGTTGGAAGGGAGGACACATCTATAGTTTGTAGATGATATCATTTTGTTTTGTGAGGGAAAAACAAAAGAGCTTGTGAACCTAATAAATTTAGGAGGATCTCTAACCTTAAATTAAATTGGGGCAAGAGCTGCATGGCAAGAGTAAATTTAGGGAGTGAAGAGGTGGATCTTCTAGCTAGGCTTTTGGTGTGTGAAGTAGGGGTATGGCCATTACAATATTTGGGACTACCGTTGGGAGGAAATCCAAATATAGATAGCTTTTGGTATCCAGTGGTTGAGAGGTTTACAAAGTGACTTATGAACTAGAGGAGAAATTACATTTCCTTGGGAGGTAGGATAACTCTAATTAAGTCAACATTGACCAACTTACTAGTGTATTTCATATCTACCTTTAGAATTATAGTGGAAGTGGCAATTTATCATATATATATATATATCAATGAAAATGGCAAACCTGTTAGAAAAAATTATGAAAGACTTCCTTTGGGAACCCAAGACACTAGGAAGGATCACTTAGTGAAGTTGGAGGTGGTTTTTAGATGTACAAATGATGGAGGCCTAGGAATAGGAAATGTCAGACTAAGATACACAACATTGTTGGGGAAATGCTCATAGTTTTCAAGGTGCCAAGGTGAGGTTAGGCGACAAGGGGCGCCTTGTTGCCTAGTTGCCTAGGTGATGTTTTTTTTTTTTTCAGTAAAAACATGTATCCTAGGGTAGTTTCCTAGGTTCTATAATCATATTTCCTTAATAAGTATCCATAATTTTCGTAAGAAAAGTTTAAACTTCATGTTAAAGTATAGAAAATCAACATATTCCAACATGTTCATGAGAAGAAAAAGAAGAAAGGAAAGAAAATTCAAAAAATATAGGGGCTGAATCCCTATTTCTGTTATAGGAAAAGAAGAAAAGAAAAAAAGTGGGAGAAGAAGAAGAAATTAGTATATAAACACACAAAATTAGTAAAGAAAAAGAAGAAAATGTGTTGATTGAACAACATTTTATGTTCTTCCTTACTTATTGGTTCAGGTTTTGAAGTCTCTGGGGCTTCAATGCAGCATTTAGCATGTTTGTGTTGATTAAACCCTAACAAATAAGAAAATAATAAAAAAGAAATTAGTATATAAGCACACAAAATGAATATTTTAGTTTAAAAATGTTTATTTTATAATTATAACCTCAAAAAATTAAGAATATAAAAGTTCTTTTTTTTTTTTTATAAAATGCTATAGTAAACTACTTGGTGATTAGGCGAGGCGAGCTTCCAAGGTTGCCTTGTCGCCTAGGTGTTGCCTTGACAACTATGAATGTTCTCCCTGGAAATCTATTCATGATATTGTGCCTTTCATCCTTATTTCAAATTTGATGCCTATGCAAAAAACGAAGTGTTGTTTTGGGAAGATGTTTGGGTTGGGGAGATTCCCTTTAGTGATAGGTTACCTACTATTTATTCACTCTTAGAAAATAAAAGAAAAGTGATCTCTTTAGTTTTTTATTGATAATTTGTGGGACTTGGGATTGAGGAGAATGCTAAGGGAGTCGGAAATGGAGATGGTGGATGAACTTGTTACTCTTTTAGGGTCGACCTATCTGGATCAATCTTGCTTGGATGGTGGAATTTAGAAACCTTCCCACTGGTGTTTTCACTTGTTCCTCTTTCTTTAATGTCCTCTTTCAATCAGCTAACCTTGCAAGGAGCTTTTCATCAAAGGAGGTTTGGTGTAGCCCTATACCTCAAAAAATTCGGACTTTTTGTTGGGAGGTGGTTCTCCAAGATGACTTTACAAATCAAGATTGGTGGGGGATAGTAGGTGTTGAGCATGTGGAAAAAAAATTCTTTGAAGAATTTTTTGAAGGGGGCAAGTTCAATTCAGGGACAAATGCAACTTTTATAGCCTAGATTCCCAATAAGGCAGATGCAATCCATCCAAAGGATTTCAGACCCATAAGCCTTGTGGGAAGCATCTATAAAATCACCTCCAAGGTTTGGCTGAGAGGATCAAAAGAGTCCTTCCTTCTTTAATTTCTCCAAACCAAGGGGCTTTTGTTTTTGGCATGGTTTAAAGTGTCAATATGGTACACCCCGTATCGGGCATATCGTATCGTATCTTTTGAAAACGATACACTCCGAAACACCTGTTTCCAGGTAGGTGTTTCGGAACCCCAACTTTTTTTAATAGAAAAACCTATTTTTAGATTCCCAAAAAACCAAAATTTGAAAAAAAAAACTAAAAGTGTTTCGCACATTTCTATGTACTGATACGATACTACCGATACACATATCGTATCAATACTTTGAACCTTGGTTTTTGGGAGACAAATAATTGATCAGATTCTCATTGCTAATGAATGTGTAGACTTTAAGAAGAGGAGAGAGGAAAAAGGCTTGGTTTGCAAACTGGATTTGGAAAAGGCTTATGACTTGGTGCACTGGGACTTTTTGCTAGAGGTTTTAAGGTTGAGAGGTTTTGGAGCTAAATGGTGTAAGTGGATAAAGGGTTGTATTTCCTCCTGCCATTATTCCATACTAGTCAATGGAGTCGCTAGAAACTTTTTGCAGCTAGGAGGGGCCTTCGTCAAGGAGATCCTCTCTCCCCTTTCCTCTTTAGTTTAGTTGCAAATGTACTGAGTGTTTTGATCTCAAGGGCTGATGTTACAAATTGGATAAAAGGCTGGAGAATTGGAGGGGAAGAGTTGGTGGTGACACATTTACAATTTGCAAATGACATTGTTATATTTTGTGAAGGGGAAAGGGAAGAATTGATTCAACTACAAAGGCTAGTAACTCACTTTGAAAGGGTTTCTAACCATAAGGTAAAGTGGGGCAAGAGCTGTGCAATGGGAATAAACAGAGAGAAAGAGGAAGTAGAATACCTTGCTAGGGTTTTGGGGTGTGAGGCAGGGGAATGGCCAATATTGTACTTGGGACTACCTTTGGGGGGGAATCCAAATTCTGATAGCTTTTGGTATCTAGTAGTGGAAAGATTCACAAAAAGGCTGGTAGTGTGGAAAAGAAATGACATCTCTCTATGGGGAAGAATAACACTAATAAAGTCAACTTTGACTAATTTGCCAGTCTACTGTCTATCTACCTTTAGGGTCCCCACCAAAGTGGCCAACCAATTAGAGAAATTAATGAGGGTCTTCTTGTGGGTGCCAAGGGATACAAAGAAAGGTCACCTAGTGAAGTGGGAGATAGTGTCTAGAAGTAGGGGTAGTGGGGGTTTAGGGATAGGGAATATTAAACTAAGGAGTGTTGCACTATTGGGAAAATGGTTGTGGAGATTCCCCCTAGAACAAGACAATCTATGGCAAAAGGTGATTGTGAGTATTCACGGTATGGCAAACAATGGGTGGGATGTTGGTCTTGACCCTAGGGCAACTCGGTATTCTCCCTGGAAAGCAATCCATGATTTGTTGCCTTCCTTTCTTTCATATATTAGGTGTGATGCTTGTGTAGGTAATAAGTGCGGTTTTGGGGAGTCCTCTCTTAAAGATAGATTTCCATCTATTTATTCCTTTTCTCTAAACAAAGAGTCAACAATTTCCAATGTTCTTGGTACTAAAAACTCTTGGGACTTGGGACTACGGAGAGGGTTAAGGGAGTCTGAAATGGGTTTAGTAGATGAACTCATTTCCCTTCTCATCTTAGTATTGGATCTTTCTTGTTCAGACAACAGAATTTGGTCGGTGTCTTCCTTTGGCTACTTTACATGTTCTTCTTTCTTCATTGCTCTCCTTCAGTCTTCTAACATTGCAGGTTCTTTTCCCATAATGGAAGTATGGTGTAACTCTCTTCCCTTGAAGATTAGGTTGGGAGGTAGTACTCCAGAAAATCAACACTTTGGATAAACTACAAAATAGAAGACCAAATTGCTGCCTTTCCCCTCATGTTGTCTTTGTTTGGGCTGTGGTGAGTCAATTACACATCTATTATTGTTTTGTCCTTTTGGTTCTTTTGTTTGGAATTGCTTTTCCTCTTTGTTTGGCTGCAAGTGGACCCCTCCTGATGTGGCAAGCCTATTTGAACCAAGCTTCTTTAGACTACCTAAGAAAAGAGGTAGGGTGATGTGGAGAGCTATGAGAGCTGCTATCCTTTGGTCAATATGGGAGGAGAGAAGTAACAGAACTTTCCAAGGGAAAGATAGGTCCAAGGAACAAGTAATAGATAATATACTCACTAAAGTCATACATTGGCTGAAATCAACTGAATTATTCAAAGATCACTCAGTGGAGGACATTTTTAGAGGCTGGTTGGCAGTGGTGAGCCTTTCTACTGCTAAGGATGTGGTTCAGCCCCAATGGATACCAGCAGCACACCAAAGGGTAAAGTTGAACTTTGATGGAAGTTCTTTGGGCAATCCAGGACCCTCAGGAGTGGGGGGAGTATTTAGGGGTGGGGAGGGAAGGCTAATAACACTGTACTCTGGCCCAATAGGTATTGGTGATTCTTTAAGAGCTGAATTATGGCTTTACTCCAAGGTTTGAGACTGGCCAAGCAATGGGGTTTCCAAAATTATGAAGTGGAGGGAGATTCTGAGCTGTTAATAGGATGACTGCAGACAAAAAGTCTGGGAGCGTGGACTTTGAGACAGCAAATGAGGGAGATTTATTGTTTAGCAAGGGAAACTGGAGTAATCTTCACTTGGACAAGGAGGTCACTCAACAGTGTGCCAAGACAGGGAACTAAAAGAGAAAATCTTTTTTGGGTTGTATTGTAAATTTTGGGATAAAATGTGGGGTCAAGACTCATGCTGTGAGTGATTGACATTGTACTCCTTTACTAATTCAATGAAAGTTACCATTTCCAATAAAAAAGGTGGTTCTCCAAAAAATTGATACTCTGGTTCTGTTGTAAAGAAATCAACAAAATTTTTGCCTTTTACCCTGTGTTTGTAGCCTCTGCTTGGGTTCTGGTGAGACGATCACACACCTATTAATCTCTTGTCCTTCTGTATTCTTTATTTGGTCCTGGTTTTCTTCTCTCTATGATTGCAAGTGGACACCTCCCTAGACGTGGTGAGCCTATTTGACCCAAGTTTTTTTAGGCAATCGAAGGCCTGTGGAAGAATTATGTGGAGAGCCACAAGAGCAACTATTCTTTAGTCAGTCTGGGAAGAAAGGAATAATAGGATTTTCAAAGGAGTGGAGAAATCCAAGGAGGAAACCATGGAGAGAATAACCATTATTATTATCCATTGGCAGAAAACATTGGACTTGTTCAAAGATGTCTCAACTAAGCACTTATATAGGAACTAGGGAGAGGTGGCAGCTATAACTTCCCTAAAACCTATTGTACAGGAATTGTGAACCCCACCAACACCACAACGAATGAAATTGAACTTTGATGGGAGTGCTAGAGGTAATCTGGGCCCTTTGAGTATAGGGGGAGTATGTAAAGATGGAGATTGTAGAATTTTTGCTATGTTTTCAGGGCCAATAGGAGTGGGAGACTTGTTGAGAGTGGAAGTGATGGCTTTGCTTCAAGTTGTAAGATATGTCAAGCAGTTGGGGTTACACTAAGTTGAGATAGAAGGAGATTCTAAATTGTTAATTTATTGGTTGCAATCAGGTAGGTTGGGAGCCTGGATAGATAGCAATCGATAAGGGAAATCCTCAACATAATAAGGGAAATTGCTGCTTGCTTCAAGTGGACAAGAAGATCAGCCAATGGATTAGCTGATACCTTATCCAAACATGGGACTGTAAGGGAGAGTTTGTTCTGGGCAGTGTTGTAATAAAGATTACATGGGGCTCAACACCCTATTTTAGGGGTTGACAGTTTTTATCTTAATATTGTGTTAATGAAGTTACCGTTTCCAATAAAAAATTTTCTTTCTATTCATTTTGCTTCTATCCTTTCTTATTGACATCTTTGTTTCTTCAATTTAAATTCAATCCTTTTTATCGTTTTAATTTCTTGTCTACAACATTTGCTCCAATCTCTCTCTCTCTCTCTAGTTTTTATTTTTTCAGTCTCTACATGTTGTCTATTGAATGTGACACTTTTCTGTTATATCATGCATATTGAAGAGAGTGAAATTCCCAAGGATGATGATGGGTGTAGTTACACCCCATCCAGTGAATAGAGAATCAGGTTGGATGGTCAAGAGATGAAGCCAGTTAAGCAAACAGATGAAGTAAATGAAAAATAAGAGAAAAAATTATTTTCCATAAAGATATTGAACTTAAATCCTTTTGGGTATTACAACCCAAACCCAAAATCCAACTATAACTTGTCTTGCATTTCTTGCAACCAAACCTGGCTGTGACCTGATTATAAATGCAATGAACCCACCATAATACCATCTGTAAGTTTTGTTTGGTAGTGATTGATGTTTTAAATATTGAAGGCCTAAATCATTCATCATGGTTTGTTTCTTTTCTCCAGAAGGTTCAAAGGGCACTTTTGCAATCAGATGTTCAATCAAAATCAGATCGAAGCCCTGTTACTGTAGCAGATTATGGTTTGTTTTCATAACCACCTAGTCTTTCCTTGACTATAAATGGCACATTGTGCTATGTTTTATTTATTTTTCCCATTAATGATAACTTTTTCTTTTTGATTGGTAACAATGTATGAAAATCTATTAATGTGTAAAGGTAAGCAATCTTATAAAAGAAGCAAAATGAAAGGTGTTAAGCTATGTAAAAAGTCAAAACACCAAAAAACACTGGAAAGGATCCTGACTCAACTCCCAATCATAAAGTGCCAGCAAGCAAAAGACATCCAGAGATGAGGGCCTTGCATATGAAAATAATAACCAGCCACTTGACTTGGAGAAGAATAATTCCATGCCATAGCCCAAAGGCACTAATATATTCAAAAGCCCAGGTGACCAAGCAAATGGGCTATTTCCCTCCCTGTATGGCCAACCCTCTTCAAGACCTGCACTCCTGCAATTATACTATATCCTTTCTAATTATGAATAATGGAGTACTATTCCAAATGTTGAGTCTGACTGCAAAATGGAAATGAATTTCACTGTAGCTAAGGTACTTCAATTTATAGTTTCCATTTTTTTCACCTTCACTTCGATTTTTCTCATCTCTCATGATAGGTTATGGTAGTTTGTAGCTCCCATTTCATAAATTTGAATGACACAACCTAGTAATGGTGGTAAGCCTTGGGGACTTAATATGATCCTGTATAGGAATTTGATTTCTCTGATATCACATAGGAGTTGAAGACATGTTGGTCCTCAAATTAATGGATAGGAAGTGATGTTAGTGGATCCATACTCTATAGAAATTTGGGTAGCTAAATTACACTTATGGATATTGTGGTTTTCCCTCCAAATATAGAATGTTGCTGACCATGTATTTTGGCTGTTAAAATTGGAAGTGGTCATACATAGTTTGTTTTTAAGGGATTTATTTAAGATTATATGAATGATTTTTTTTTTTATTCTCTATCATATGGCTGAATTGTGACATGATTCTTGTTGGACCATCTGATGTACTATTTGAACTATGGGTTCCTCATTATATAGTTCCTGAATTCTGATCTATGACAAACCTGGAGAATTTACACCTTTCTTTGTTCTTCCAACTGTAGCTCGTATTTGTAAACTTTTTATGATTTTGATTGCAGACTTCCTATTTTTTAATTTAGTTTTTGGGGTGGAATCCTTTCCTGGTGGTTTTGGCAAATGAGATTGGAAATAAGTTGAGTTTGTGTTTTAATCTTTTGTCTTGGCTTCTTAGGATCACAGGCACTGGTCAGCTTTGTGCTGGAGAGGGAGCTACCTTCTGGGTCCTTCTTGCTAGTCGCTGAGGAGGTAAATCCTCATATTGGTGTGTGGATAAAAATGACCTTCCACTGATTGGAATGATAGTTGATGGAACAATATAGTGGCTACTCCCCCTCCTCCCCTTTTCTTCAGCCTTATTTTTCTTTATTTATATGGTAATTTCATTTTCTTGACAATTTCTCCAGGATTCAGGAGACCTCCGCAAGGATGATGCGAAAGAGACATTGCAGCGCATAACAAAACTTGTAAATGATACTATTTCTAGTGATGGAACATACACTGTTTCCGCTTTATCTGTAGAAGATGTGCTTGCTGCCATTGATAGTGGCAAATCTGAAGGAGGTCCCCGTGGCCGACATTGGGTATTGGATCCAATAGATGGTACTAAAGGGTAAGCTTGCCTGCTGGATATTCTGCAATCAGTAATTGTTACAATTTAAGAAATAGATGCTTATTGTAATAATGACCTGAAGTCTTTTATTATATCGCTGGGATATGGATTTTGTCAGGTATATTGTATTGTTGTTGTCTAAGTTACATGGATCCTAGTAGTTTATTAATGTCATGAACTATTATCTTGGTTGCACCTGCAAATGTCTCTCTCTCTCTCTCTTTATATATATATATGTCATGAACTATTAGCATGTGCATCTATGTATTATCATTAGTTCCTTTTCCTCATTTCTTCATTGATTCTTTCAATTATTTTTAGCTATTGCCACTTGGTGTCATGCAGAGGGATCCTCTCCTTTAGTTTTGAATATAGTTTCTATTTCCATCTTTCAAAAAAAAAAAAAAATTTAGCTGCATCCTTCTTCCATAAATTTCCTCTTTGCTTCTTGATATATTTGGTTCTATCCACATTTACACTGAAACTATAGTTCCTTATATATCAGTCAAGGAAAAGTGAAAAATAAATATCCTTATAAAGAAAACCTCTATAGGGTAGTAAAAATATAAAACTTCTGTTATCTTGTTTGCTTCCTTTTTCTTATATTTGATTGATAACAGGAAATTATATTTAATTTATGGAATAGAATGGTGTATAATATAACATCTGCCAAGTATCCCTCTTAGGAATTTAGGCTAGCAACTTCTACCCATGGTTTAAAATGTCCATAAATTTTCTAATATTTCCATTTCCAAGGGTACCAACACAAAATTTTACTAGAATTGACATATTCTATAGTGAACACTACTGGTGTTATGTGGTGTACTTGAGATGGTATTATAACATAAGTTGGTGACAATGTTGTAGATATGTGGAGTAGCAATATTATTACCTGCCTAATGGACATGATTATCGCTTTGAGTGAGCTCTATGTTCTTTTCAAACATGAAGTTACATATTAGTTTCTGTTTATGTAATAAATTATTTGTTTGACCTATCAGAATCTTTTACTTTTTCTATGAGCTTTTTATTTTTCTCGAACTCATTCTATGATGCAGTTTTAAGGTGTACAGGACAACTTCATAACATACTAATTTGTCTATAACCTTAGTTTCTTAGCACTGTTCAATGATTTAGAACAAGGTAATAATTTAAAAATGTGTGCCTATGCTGCTTTTATCATTTCATAGAATATACATATTTCACAATGTTTCCACCATGTTTATAATTTTTACATTATTTTCATATGATATTTTTGACAATTACCAACATTGTCATTTTAAACCTTTCTGCTACTTAAAGTGATATTCTGTTAATACCTGCATCCTAGTCTGACCTAACAGAGTTTAAGTAGTGAAACAAAAACCTACCAACTAAACTGAAATAAAACCCCCTGCAACTTACCTTATGTACTCCAGAATATTTTACCCCTTATTTAAACTATAATATTTTTATCTTTGAACATTACCTGTCCAATAGATATGGTTTAAAGCTCTTCCTATCAGATCCCATATATTCCAAAATATTGTTCCATTTTGTCTCAGCTAATTCCCTATTGTCCTTTATCTGGTATATTCATGCTTATCCATTGTGGAAGTAGCATCATGCACATGAAATTGAATTGCAGGTTCCTAAGAGGAGATCAATATGCAATAGCGCTGGCACTTCTAGATGAAGGACAAGTTGTATTAGGCGTCCTGGCTTGCCCAAATCTCTCTCTTACACCAATTAGTAACCATTCCCAACCCTCTGCTCCAAACCAAGTTGGTTGTCTTTTCTCTGCAAAAGTTGGTGCTGGAACTGATATGGAGTCACTCGATGGTGGCTCTTCACCAGTGAAGGTCAATGCATGCTCTCAGCTGTATCCTGGGGCCTCTTATTAATGTTTATTAGTAATTACTACGTGTTCTTACTGATTTTCCTTTCAGGTGCATGTCAGTGACATTGAAGATCCTGCTGAAGCATCATTCTTTGAATCATATGAAGCAGCACATTCCATGCATGATTTATCTAGCTCTATAGCAAAGGTACATTGCAGATGTCATTTTCTTTTTTCACTTTATTTCAAATTGTAATTATGTATATAGCTCGATCTTCTCTTACTTGTCAAACAGAAACTTGGAGTCCATGCACCACCGGTTAGAATAGATAGCCAAGTAAAGTATGGGGCACTGTCTAGAGGAGACGGGGCTATATACTTGCGTTTCCCTCATAAAGGATACCGTGAAAAGATATGGGACCATGCAGCTGGATCCATTGTGGTCACAGGTATGGATTGTACTCACCTTTCCTCTCTTTATTCTTCTTGACCTTGTTGATCATATAATCTACATGCCCAAGATCAGTCAGACAAATTTTGCATGCTTTAGAAATTAGAAGGTTAAAATGCGAGGAACATGGGTGGGAAACATAACTTGGTCAATGGATGATATTTGAGGTTGTGATCCCAGCCATTACCTTGTTACAGGCACTGATGGAAGCAAGGATTGGATTAGAATATCAATATGCATCGATGCCCATGTTGGGTATCAATGCGTATCAATATGGCTGATACTCTTCCATTTTTTATTTTTATTTATAATAATGAGAGGGTCTCAGAAGAGGTCTGTGACCTTTTAAAGTTTTTAAAATATTTGTGTATCGGTGTATCAAAGTGTATCTGGATACATCAATACCAATACGATATGCCCAGGTATCGATATTTTAATCCTTGGATGGATGGTTCCTATTCTATGGGAGAGATGTTCAGATGAAGTTTATAACGAGCAAAAAGTTTTTTTTTTTCACTTTTACAGAGCTTAACCTGCCAACCTTAATTCATTTGAATTAAGAAACTTCCAACTTTAGAATAGGAACTATTCTAAATTTATAATCTCTGTCAAAACAGATGTTAGAGAGCAAATGGTTGCTTTTGGTACCACTTCCTAATTTATGTATTTGGGAATCAGCGTCCCTCTACTCATATAGAGATTGCCATGCATTATAGTTACAAGAAGATGGGCTTTTAATATAAAGTTTCTTAAAGAAACACTTTTCCTTTAGAATGCGTTAAAATAAAGAGGGATCAAATTACTTTCTTTTACTCATCAGAAGTAACATTATAGAAGTAAGAATTCTTGACCAATGCTACAATTTTATTTGAAGATTCTCAAAATTACAATCATCAGATTCTTTGCAAGCTTTGGTCTATTTCCTCCAAAAATGGTACAAACTCCAAAATCCAAATGCAAATTAATAATAATGCCAATCCTTTGCCATCAAGAAAGAGTTTACAATACTTGGTGTCTAATTTCCACCATAACTTTGCTTTTGTCTTTGAAGGTGCACCTCACACCTATCCATGGGTTGCATGTACTGTTTCATGTTTATTGATGCTTTAATAAAATTATGATTTACTTATCAAAAAAAAAAAAAATTCAACCATAACTTGGATCAGATTTTAATGTTGCACATGGGCGTAGCATACCCTTAACCAAGTTTAGGCTTGCTGAGGGTTAGGTTGGGATGCATCCTTTGCTTGTTCAGTGTGGTGAGCCACGGTTAACCTGGTATTATATACTTGTGATGCTTGTATCTATGATGGGTTTAACATGGTTTTACAATTTTGTTTAGGAGCTGTAAGATAATTTTCATTTCCTTGAAATTCTTATTTATGAAACTAGATTATATTAAATAAAATGTACAACCACTTTTATGCTATTAATCTATGCAGTTTGCAAAGTTGAAAAAGACAGATATACCACCCTCTTGTGGGGCAGGTTTCGTCTTTAACAGGCTAAGCTTGTCCTGAAATTGATTCAAGGCCCTGGCTTGGTTTGTATTTGAGCTTTGTAGAAATCCCTAGGGGCCTTCTTTGGGCTGCATCTTTCAGCGGGTGGACTGGGTCTTGTCCTAAATTTTTAGCCTATTTATTAATAGAAAGGGCTCTTGATTGGTTTTCATGACCTCCCATTTGTTGATGATTGCAGAAGCTGGTGGTGTAGTCACAGATGCTGCAGGGAATCCTTTAGATTTCTCCAGGGGAAAATTCTTAGATCTTGACACGGGCATAGTTGTAACCAATCAGAAGTTGATGCCACAGCTTCTGAAGGCAGTTCGAGCTTCTTTGAATGAGGATGCTCAATCTGCTTCATCTGTATGATACTGCTGATTTTTCTTCCCTTTTTTTGTTTGGTGTTTCAAGCTGGGATAATACCCATCCCATCTAGTTCTAATAGTGAATTCGCAAAATAATGGACTTAATAATGGAGCCTCATTAGCTGTTATTTGAATATGCTTCTCCTAAGTACTCTTTTTTGAGCCCACGTACAGATTTTGTGTCAGTAACATGTGCCATCTATAATTATATTCTCTAATAAAACGCCCTTTATTCTGTGATTTGGTAAAACCATTAAATGAATCATCGCTCTGCGCTTCGTTACTAAAATGGCTATCAGAACAACGCAATAAAATAATAGATGGGTCGGTTGACAGGTAAAATGCTAGTCGGGTGCTTTTCATCGTTCATTTCATTTTTATCAAATTCTAAAGACTTGACCTGTGAGCTGTTACCTATCCAGGTTTGGATTAGCTTTTTAGCCAGCAAGACTCATTCATCAGAACTCCCTACTGAGTTTGTTTCATTTATTGGAGCTCTACTGCTTTTTTCTTTTCCTTGATTAGATAACGAGAAGATGAACTGATTATATTAAAATACAAGCCAAAAGGAGGGGGCACATTATTCGCAAAGAACATAGTTGCCCAGAGAGAGAGAGAGAGATTATGGTATTTATTGGATTGGATTGGACCTGGTCCATCGATGATGTGTTATATTGGATTCAACCAAAATCTGGTCCATTGATGGAAGATAGAAAATAGGTGTTAATGGATCAGGTTTGGGTGGGAGCCAATTGAACAGATTGGACAATCCAGACATTGAATTTGATTAGCTAAATTGGTCCAAACTCCAAAGTATTCTCTGATTGGATTGGACCTGGTCAATCTGTAACGTGTTCATATTAGACCAGATTGGATTGGACCAAATCTGGTCCAATTGACATCCCCTAGCTGTGGGTGCACAAGACCTCCCCGACCCTTATTCTTTCTACTGGGGTTCCATCAATGTATCCAGCTAGTAGGCAACCAGCAGGTCCACTGTATCTAAGCGGTTCACGCCTGGGATCTTCGAGGGGTGCCTCTATTTTGAAAATTCTCTTGTTTATCACACAAAGGCACCTTGGATCAAAATCTCTCTCTCCAACTCGCAACATTGTTTGATTCTCTAAAAATAATAGAGTATGAAACTGTAAGGGAAAAACACGGCGCTGATTATAGCATTCTTCTTGTATCGTGCGCTTACACAACAGGGGAACTTCAGATCCTTTGAGATAGGGCTGTCAATGGGTCGGGTCTGGCCCGATGGACAATCGATTTATTTGGTTAAAAATCGAATTGAATAAATCATTTTTTTTAAACCGAAATTTGAAATGTAAAGTCGAACAGAAACCAAAATTTTTTGTTTGGTTTTCGGTCATTTTGGTCAAAACCAAATTTATTTAATATATTAATATACATTAATATATTATTATTATATATATTATAATATATTATTTTTTTCACAACCGGTTCAAGGGGGCTGGTTTAGGTTTCCTCCACCCCCTGAACCATTCAGACCCCTGATACACCCACTGTAGGGGCGTATCAGAGAGGTCCTGGAATGATACGTATTGGCCGATATGGGCCGATACGTGTCGATGCTTTGAACCTTGGTTTGGTTAATTCAGTTTTTTTAGATAACTAAATTTCCTAATCCAAAAACTGAAACCAAACTAACCAAAATTGAAATTATCAGTTCAGTTTTTCGGTTTTAACCAAACAATGCTCACCCTTACCCGATGGACCTGAACTGATTGGTCTGGTTCTGGTTCTAAGAATTGGAACTGGGTGGGTCAGTTCTGGGTCCTGATATAGTGTCTCGATTATTATTGGTTCGAAATCGGTTTCACCCAGTTCCGAAGCGATTCAAACCCAACCCAAGCTATATACATATAATATATAATGTATAATATATAGGAATGGCAATGGGGCGGGGATCATATTCTCTGTCCCCGTCCCCGATCCCCACTGAGGATAAAACTTGTCCTCCATCCCCGATCCTTGACGGGGATGGGTTCCCCGCAGGGACCCGAATCCCCAAACTTTTTTTAGATAACAATATTTTTTTGAAAAATAAATTTACTTAAAATAAATAAAAATTGTAAATTATAAATAATTTTTTAAATATGTTTTGATATATATATATAATATAAATAATATATATATAATATAAATAATTGGGACGGGGCGGGGACCTCAATCCCCATCCTTGACCCTGACTCGGATCGGGGATTCCTACTAATCCCTGTCCCTGCCCTAGCAAAACAATCCCCATCCCTACCTCCATCGGGTCGGGGAAGTCGGGTCCCTGCCGGGGATGGGGAAAATTGCCATCCCTAATAATACATAATATTTAATATATATTAAATGTATTTATCTAAAATTACAGTCCCTATCAGGTCTGGTTTAGCTCCGGGTTCTCAATGTTTTCTATTGGATTGGTTCCGGTTCTAGCTGGTCCCGACCCAGACCTGACCCGTTGACAGCATTACTTTGAGAGCATTGATAACCACACTAAGAATGCCTTTATCAGGTACGTTAAAACTTACAAGTTCAAACACTTAGGCCTTGGTTTTTTGGCAATAAGTTATTTATTTGGGCAAATGCGTTTATCCAGTAAGTTACCGGGTAAGTATATTTACCCATGTTCTTTTGCCAAAAATGTTAACTGGGTAAGCGAATTCCTTGAAAGATCCCAACTTTTTTGTTTGGCATTTTACTCTTATACAGTTTGGCCATTTTCTCCCCTCCATGGGTAACTTATCCACTTAGGAGGTGGGTAAAATTTTCTTAGTTAAGTTGACAAAAACTTATTATGAAAAATGTTTTGTTTATGTGGATTCCATATTTTCATTGGTCAACTTTTCCATCAATAAACTCCCACCTCCCAAACTTACCCCCAAACAGGGCCTTAAAGGGATCAGATCATTAACTGGGTATGACTAGGAGATCGGCTTCATCTGAATTCTCAATAAACGAACAATTCTTTTCAATGGTTGAGCAAGCCCTTTGATGTGAAGATCTACTGAACGCCAATTCATGAACATCTGTTCATATTGATATATTTGATCGCAGTATCTGGGTAATACCTCTCTGATTATGGGATCCTGAATTCCTGATGCTATTGCAGTAGCAGCATGTATCATGACAATTTGGCTATAGCCCAAAGTTATGGCTGTCTGATTGCCTGTTTCTGCCTGCAATATCAACAACTTTGAGGGGAAGCGGGGAACCTTGCTAGATGTAATATAATATAGGGTAAATTGATGAAACCTCCCTTGAAGTTTCTGACCATTACTGAAATTTCCCCTGAAGTTTAGTAATTGCAATCACCTGATACACCTCCCTTAAATTTTCTAATAGAGTTGCAAGTAGACCCCCTCTGGTAAAATCTTTTAAAAATGGCATAAAAGTGTTCAAAATACCCGTGCAATTACTATTGAAACTATTTTCCATGAAAAGAAAAACAATACAAACTTTATAAACAACAAAAACAAAGAGAATTTAAAGTTGCAGCTTTACCTTTGAGTGATTAATATAAAGGAAAAATTTGGACAATAAATCAATTTTATAAAAGCGATTCATATGAAAGAGAATATTTGGAAAATAAACATTTTTATTAAAAGAAATTGCATGGGTATTTTGGACATTTTTATGCCTTTTTCTAGAAATTCTATCAGAGGAAGTCTACTTGTAACTATGTAAGAAAGTTTGGGGGAGGTGATTGCAATTATCAAACTTCATGAAAGGTTTCTGTAATAGTCAGAAACTTCAGGGAAAATTTCAGCAATTTACCCTATAATATATATCCCTAGTCTAGGTGTTGCTGAGTATGAAATAAAGAAGATAAGCTTCTCCTATGGGTCTACGTTATCAATTATAGTCTCCATCACCATTGGCTTCAATTTCTCTGGGCAAGGATGCAGAAGATACGCAACTGGATTGGACAAAAGAGTATGGTACTCCCTTAACACTACCCAATATTGAGCAAGGAACAAATGTACCGCGCAACCGGCTGCCCACCTAACCTTATCCAAGCCAAGTGGTCTTTGCATTTGCATAGAGAAGGTGGGAGGCGGGTTTAGAGGACTAGATTTACACTTTTTTTTTTCTTTGTAATAGACATCCTCCTCATTTTGAAATTCTCTTCTACAATCCTTTTTCTTTCATTAATATGACTCAATAATAATATTATTTATTCAATTGTTTTCTCTAAACGAACAATCAAATATCAACCAAATTGGAAAAGACTTTATATATGAAAGTAAAGGCGACAAATATAAAATAAGAATATGTGCAGATGGTGCAAGTGGGTCTGCTAGATTCATTAAAGGTCCAAGCTCTATCAGATTGCAGAGACAAATTGTGGCTGTCATCTGGCCAATTGGCACCTATTCTTCTCTGAGCAGCGTTTAGGTTTTATTAATTTTATTCCCGCAGTTCAAACTTTGAACTGTTCCTCAATCATGATTCATGAATTGGTGTTTGATCTTCATTAAAAATGCTGTCAAAATGGGTGAAGTTAATTAGAAGTTTAGCACTTGGTCAGCCCACCTTGACGTTTGTGATCCTTTTGGAAAGGATGCCTTTTTTGGCTAAGTGCCATAAGCCCACATTGAGTACCATGTGTTCCATAAACTTGCATCTTGAAACACTAATATGACTAAAATGGTTCTGTGATAAGACATGGGTCAAAGTAGTGAGAAATGATTTAAGGTTCATAATTTAACAATGGATATGACATTCAACAGAATGGAATGACAAAACAGGATTTATGTGGCTGATCCCATATAGTTGGGATAAGGCTTAGATAATGATGGTAATGATTCCTGATTCTTTGATCCACCTAACTGAATAAGAAAGTTGATTTCTTTGTTCTCTGAAATCTTATCATCCACCTGTATTGGAAGCCGTGTTTCTGATCTTTGAATTTGATGACCCATGAGAAAATCTGGTGGCTTTCAGAGATATCTGTGCTGTATTTCAATATATTAAAACCCAAATGGGTATACCATCAATGAAAGTTATTTGAACTACAGTTATAAATAAAGATGCCTTAGTTGAGACAGCTCCCCGAGAAGTTAGTGTTCTGTTTTATTGATTGAGATGAAAGGTTTTTTCAATAAGAACTGTAAAATTTGATTATTAAGGAGAAAAAAAAATGAAATGGAGATTTCCTGTATTAATTTTTATTGTTTGTTAACATTCTTAATATTTGCATCATTCTTCCCCAATTCTGGTTTACATCAGATGCCCATGTAATCCCCAAGATCAGACATGCTTTGAATTCAGGAAATAGTAATTACAATTATATACATAGATGCCGGAAGATCCCAAGATTTTCCAAAAATATTACTCTACATATCCTTGCTTTTGTTATGATGATCTAGACAGGCACATCAGGAGGGTAATCCTGTGGATGTCTCTTGATTGTCTCTCTAAGTAGTCTTTCTTGTTCAAGGAGATTAGATGGGGGGTGATCATAGACATCTGTGAACAAATCAGCAAGAAGAGGTTTCTCCACCTTCTCTGCAACCTGAATTGCATGCAATATCTGCATTGAAGTGTGACCAGTTAGCTTTTTTTTTTTTTTTTTTTACCAAGAATATTACAATAATATGAAGCAAAGTAGGAGTTCTGTGGACATCATGGAAACCCACCTTCTTCCTCATATTCCTCCTAAGCTCTGATTCATTTTCATTACTCCACCAACCGTTCAATTCAATCCATTTTCCAAATCTAGTAACAGGGTCTCGTGCCGATCTCCAGTGTTCGATTTCGTCAACTGCACGATATTTGGTTGAATCATCTGAAGTAGAGTGGTGCCCAACTCTATAGGTAAGTGCCTGAAAATTTAACAAGGAGAAATCAATAAATGGAAGGGAAAAATCCACCTTATGAGTTGCATAAAAACAAATAACAGAGTATCAGAAAAATAACAATGTACCTCTATTAAGATGGGCCTGTGTTCACTGATAGCCATTTCACGGGCTCTCTGAACTGCACTATAAACAGCAATGACATCATTCCCATCCACTCGAATACTACGCACTCCGTAAGCCTGACCTCTAACTACAACACCATCACCTGCCAATATGTAAACCTGAACACTATGAGCCTCGATCAATGAAGAGATTCTAGTTCTACCAGTGGAAATATAGAAACCTAAGAAAGCATGACAGGTGAGGAAGTACTTCGAAATTGTTCTGATGTGGATGTACTAATAGCCCAACCATTGTTGCGACAAATAAAAATAACTGGGGCCTCCATTACTGCTGCAAAATTTAATGCAGCATGGAAATCTCCCTAAAACAGTGTTTAAACAGTTAGAAATTAAAGCATGGAATTAAAACTACTACTGTCTCAATTAGTTCAATATTAGTTGTAAATTTACCTCACTTGTGGCACCATCCCCAAAATAAGTGACCACACATGCATCTTTCTTATCCATTTTCAGAGAATATGCTGCACCCACAGCTTGGGGAAGCTGTGTACTGGCAAAAAAAAATTGTTAAGGTTTCTGGTTCTGATTCATTCATGTGCATGGATTATATGAAGGGCTGATATCTTACGCAATCGGTGATGATACGGTGAAGTAATTGTGCTTTCTAGACCCATAGTGGATTGGCATCTGACGGCCTTTCCCACAATCACCTTTGTTCCCAAAGCACTGGTCTGCGAATTCTTTCAGGGTAAAGCCACGCCATAAGAGAACTCCTGGCTCCCTGTACTGCACTCATATATTATTGTCCATTTAATTTCATCATCATCTATAAAAATTTTGTAGTTATTGAAGCACGGAGGAAACTTTTCCATGTATAGATATCCTCCTTGCCTCTACTGTACAGCAGTACAGGTGAAGATGCAAAGAGGAGAACTCCCCATTAAGGAAAAACTGTTCCATGAACATAAATGTATCAGTGTGCCTGGATTTTTGTAAGTTTATTAATTTTATGAGGTCTTCATGTTGTATTGTTACCGGAAAGAATGTACAAACATATACTTTTCACAACCTGAGGCAAAACAATGTCATCAATGGCGAGGGCAGCAGCTGATGCAATGTTGATGGCCTCTTCTCCATTTGAGGTAAGGTAGAATGAAATTCTTCCCTGTCTCTGAGCTTCATAGAAAATGGTGTCCATGGTTTGAAGAGTGACCATGTCGTTGTATATTCTCAAAGATAATTCCTTGCTTAGCTGATGAATTGGGTATCCAGTTGATTGACAGACAAGATGTATTAGTAAACAGATGGATAAAGCATGTAGTTTTCTTTTTTTTTTTTTTTCTGGATACAGATTTCAACGTTGAAAATAAAGAAAGATTACTAGAAGCAAAGAGGAGATACAGGTTGGAAACTGCTGCCAGGAATTTGTCGCCCATTGTCGTCTAGTACCCGATAGCATTTGATCCGCTTGTCAGGGGACTCGGATATGAATATCATATCAGAAGTGAATTTCACTTTTCCCCCAGGAAAATCCAAGAGCTAAAAAGATGAAACAAAAGCAATTAATGAAGATAAAATATATTTCCAGGAGATAAAAATTCCAGACATCTCCTGAAGTTTGTAATAATCCTAAAGCAGAAAGATTATTGAATATAATCAAGTAAAAGCTTATTGATGGACCGATTTTATGTCAGAGTTCAGAGTTTATCAGCTGAGACGAGGGCTGCTTAAATTATACCTAGTAGAGAGATAAAATTCAGATAACATTAAAAGGTTTTTTCTGTTTTATATGAAAATTTTGGACAAATTAATAAATTTCAGATAAGTTCTATACTTCTTCCTTTTCTTTTCATAATTAGTAATTTTACCATACTTTTATTTCCAGGTTTAACGTAAATTCTCTGACTTTTCTTCTGTAAAACAGACATCAGTCTATAATTTATTTGAGATTGGAAAGATCAAAGATATGTTCCTCTGAATCACCTTAAAGATTTTTACAGATAGAATATGGAAGTGGAAGCCAGAGTAATAAAAAATAATGAAAACAAGACCTTCGACGGAGTTTCTACATCAAATTGATTCGTTTAATGAAGCATATACCAGTAAACCACCTATAATCAGAAGCTAGATTGAATACTATCTGGGCTCCATATGAGCTCCGGTAGCATTAAATGGTTTAATTTTAATGAACAGAAGAGCTCTGTTTTGTATAGACCAAGATTTCCCTTTTATTTCTTTTCTTAGGCTCTCAATCCTACCGACATATGATTCAAGGAGAACCCGTTATATAAACTCATTTCGTTTATCTTCTGAGTTTCCCTGAACCATATAAGAATCAGACTGATATCATCGTGAACAATGAAATATGATACACGATGCTCAAAACCCATTGCATGCAGACATCATCTTCCTCTCCTCTCCACCAATAGATCAATAAATAAAGAAAAACAAAATAACTATTTTAATTAAATAAGACCCATTAGAGTTTCAAGCTTGTCAAAAAGAAGAAACGAATTAAAAAAGAACAAATTTTCAGTTCTTTTGTACCTGATTTTCGTGTTCGTCGTACCGTGAATCATGATGTGTTTCAGCTTGGATGGATTCAAAATGGCGAACGGCGAAAAGAGTCCCGGAATTACCAAGAAATGCAGCTGGGTTTCTGTAACTTTGTTCAATTGGTGAGGTGGGCAAAGAATTGCGCTGGTGGGTTGGTTCTGGGTGACTCAACAAGCTGCGGTTGAGAATTCCCAACGAACCCATTTTCCCATTGAGATGTCGGGCGACATTTCCCGACCTTGAGAGCCAGACAGCCATGAAACAGAGCTTGTGGCGCTAAAATCATAGAACGTACAAGAAAGATGAAGGGAAATCCCTGTTCTGAATTCTAACTTGTTTGGATTCAAAAAGCATAGGTGATCTTTGAATGTTTTTAATTGCACGTAGGGATGAGTGGTAAGAAGAAATACGAAGAATGAAATGATAGAGTTCGACTGTCTCCACACGAGAAGGAGAAGGTCCACGACATCGACACGTAACCGGAGGATGTACTGATAATGTTTATCCCACGATGACCTCTTTGGATTCTTCCCGTCGGGGATGATAAGAATTTACATTTGAGGCTGACTGGATGTGAGTGGGAAATCCCTACTTCCCTAGTGGTCCAAAACCACATTATATCTACGGGAATAGCAGAGGAATTGATGTAAATACAAGTGTACGGTGAACAAAAAAATTGATTGGTGGGTTTTTGATGAAAATTTACATGTAAAAGGGAGTCCGTCCGTTTGGAGACTGGATCTGTTCGTAATACGTGGCGCCTCACACGCACATCCCATCATCAAAATATTTTCCGTACTTATTAATTATTATTTACGGAGATATTTCACTACATGGTGGCCTATTTGTGAGGAACAGATCCATCATGGTGGCCTATTTCACACCATCCCATCACGTCCCATCATGTCCCTATGCATCCCATCATGTCACGTCCGTATGCTCCTCACACCTATTTGTGAGGAGCATATCCCATTTGGTGGCCTATTTGCACATAGGCACACAGGGAATATGTTTTCTAATTAGTCAAAATCCATGTGATATAGGATTTTTTAATCAAATTGTAAATTAAAGTTAATGGGTTTTCAAAGAGCTAAATACTTATAAACACCTTACCATAAGATTTCATTAGAGATATCATCTCCATTTGATATTTCATCACATTAAGATTTTAATTTGGGCTATCTCGATCAATGTATTCATTTCTTAAATGCCAATCATACCATTTATAGACTACTCAAACCCCATTAAATGATCCAAGAGACCTATACCTCTAGAAACTCCATTGTCATTATCTGATTTTTGTTTAATTCAACGTTAAAACCCCAATTTATCCTAAACACCTGATTTGACCGTTTTAAACCTTTCAAATTACCTAAAAATTCTTAAGCATTGCCATCAGACCAAGGACCTCCTAAAATATCGAACCCTAAAATTTCAACCCAAAATTACCCTCCATTTATTCTTTTATGAAACCAAGATTCTCTTTTGAACCTTCTCGTTAGCCTTAAACACCCACAACCCAAATCTCCTTGATCCTAACACCTCTAAATTAATTAGACTATACAAATAAACCCTAGACACACCAAAAACATCTACCCACAAATTTTCAACCTAAAATTCCCCTATTTGCCCTATTATCAAACAAATATTCCATTTTAGATGCTCTCATTGTCTCAAATTTCTAAGATTTTGGCCCTCCAAAATCAATCAAATGTTTCCATAAGATCCTAAACACCCTAAAAACCTTACCCACAAAAATTCAGCCCCAAATACCTTTATTTGACCCTCCATTATACCAAGATTCCGTTTCAAAGCTTCATATTGACTAGATCAAGTCCTTTCCAAATCTGTTCAATCTCGGCATAATTACGCCAATCTAACCCTACCAATCAACCCATAATGCTCAAAAACACCACCTACCAAATTTCAACAAAAATTCCTTCATTTTCCCCTTGATTACACCAAGATTTTGTTTCTCTCTAGATCTACCTAATTTGAGCCTATTTTGGCCAATCTAACCCCACCAATCGGTTCAAAATGCCTAAAAACCCCACCCTGTAAAATTTTAGTAAAAAATACCCTTTTTTCACTCCATATAAAAATATTCCATTTTGGTCAGTCCTATTGGCTAATACATGCAAAACCATTGTATATACTCAAATCCATCTCCACCCTTCATTTTTTTAACCCCAAATATCCACCATTATATTAGAATTTTGTTTTTGTCTCTTTAGACCCGAATTGACTAAAATACCCCTGATTTTACCAAAATACCTAAAATAAATGAATAAACACAATAATTAAATATGGTATTTTTAAAGATATTTTTGTTATTAATTATTTAATTTGTTTAATTGATAAACAATATTTATGAAAATACTATTAATTAATTAACAATATTTTGAAATAATTATTTAGTAATTCAATAATTAACAACATTTTTATTAATTATGGTATTTAATTAAATACTAGTAGGGAACCTATCGATGCATAGGAAAACCCAATGTCTAATTTCCTGGTAAAAATGATCAAAAGGATTAACAATATTTTTATTAATTATTGATTTTTTAAATATATTAAATAATTTATTTTCTTTTTTAAATATATTATTTACAAAATTATACTAATTTATCTTTTATTTTTCAATATAAGTTAATTAATAATTTCCTTTTCAATTTTTTTTCAATATTATACTAATTTATAGTAATAACTAAAATAATTTGTGTAATTATTGGTTCAAATTAACATTTTCATTCACTAATACTAATTTATCTTTAATAATTTAAAATGAAAATCACACAATTTTTAAATAATTTTCCAAAATCTATCAAATGCAATAAAAATTCCCAAATTTCCAAAATATTCCGATAATTTTCAATAATTATTTACTACATTTTAAAGAAATTTTCTAAAATTACATTAATATATATTTTTATTTTCTTCTCCAACATTATGATATTTTGTTTGCCAATTTGTAAACTCCACCAACTCTTTTCTATAGCTATAATTGTTGAATTTATTTTTTAAATTTTTAATTAGTTTTAAATGAAATTTATAAAGAATTATTGGTTGAAAATTTTGTATATTCATTGATTTCTAGTAATTTTTCTGGAAAATAGCACAATTTAATTGTTAGTGTAATAATTATTTTGAAAAATAATTAATTTAACGACACTAATAATTATTATTGGAATTACAGTTATTTCAAAACTACTGTAATTACAGTATTTTGACAATAACAAATTTTACTATAATAATTAATATTACACTAATAAAATTACATTAATAAATTTCTGAAAATGTAATAAGATGGAAATATATTTTAATGATAGGGGTATAAATGGAAGAATGAAATCAGGGTCCTTTGACGATAACATTGAGCCATTCTTATTTTTATTAATGGGTAAGAAGTACTATAATTAATTAAGAAATACTGTTAAATAGTATATTGCTAATGCTGTTAATTAATTAAATAATTCATTATGATAAAGGGAGAAGGGAGTGATGAGGTGGCTTCATGAGGGAGAAAGAAAAGCTAAGGCTATGACATGGCATGTTTATATTTTTGTGTGTGTATGCGTCTATATATTTATTAGTTTCCTAATAAAAATGAGAGTAAAAAAGGAGATAAGCCATGCTAGGTGCAAATTCCTAGTACTTCTAGAGGGAATCTTGCACCCCCCTCTAGAATTGTTCGATTTTGGTAACGAGCAAGGAAAGGATTGCTGACATGACAAGCTTTTGCTTGTGGGAGATACAAGCTCAAAAAAAATAAATAAATAAATATATATATATATAGATATAATATATAGTATACATTTAACTCATCCATTGAAAAAACAAAGGGGAATTATGGCTATATTTAGTTTTGTGGGCATTTATTGGAAAAATGCCGCCACACCAGTGCCACCTAAGCATTGCTGTTTATTATGCATGAAACCACTACTTGGTTTCAAGGTTTATCAAATAAATATTAAAAAATAAGAAATGATTGGATTTATGTGCATGAGGAGTTGGGGGAAATTCTAAATTCTAGTTTCTCTCAATGCCTCAATATTTATTGAAATGAAATATTGGAGATTTGTAAGCTGAGGTGGAAGATAACTTTATGGGGCATCACTTGAAACGCCCAACCAAACAACAAAAACAGTAAACATTTAAAATAACAATTTTCAATTAAAAACTTATCTGAGAAATACCCCATTTATAAATGCCCACAAAACTAAATACATACTATATCTATAATGCCTGAAAGAGATGATACCAAAAGAGTTTTGATCAATCAAAACCCACACGTTAGATGCGGTTTGATTGGTCATAAAATTTTTTGGATATTATGTCCTTCAGTATTAGTCGAACCCCAAAACAAATATAGCATTATCTTCTTACATTTAAAATAGTGTATAACCTACCAAATTCCAAAAACGAAAAGAAAGAAAAAAGAGAACAGAAAAAGAAACAAGAGGCTGAAAGGACTCGTTACTCTCTATGGTTTCTCTTAGACCTGTTCATGGGTCGGGCCGGGCTTTTACTGTGTATTAATAAATTTTTTTAAGGCCCGAGCCCGAGCCCGGCCCGACCATCGGGCCTACAATTTGGGCCCGAGCCCGGCCCTCATAAAAAGCCCGAAGCCCGAGCCTGGGCCCGGGCCCGAAATTTAGCCTATATTATTATTATTATTAATGTTGAAGCAGCTGAATAAAGAGAGAGATAGATTGNGGGCCCGAAATTTAGCCTATATTATTATTATTATTAATGTTGAAGCAGCTGAATAAAGAGAGAGATAGATTGAAATTATAAAGAAAAGAATAAAATATATATATATATATATTAAATTATAAATATATATTTTAATAAATATTATATTATTTATGTATTTTATATATTATATATTTTATAAAATATATAATACTGAGTCGGGTCGGGCTTTTTTGACAAATCCCGAGCCCGGCCCGAAACATAATCGGGCTTACTATGTTAAGCCCGAGGTCAGGCCCGCAGGCCTAATTATATGACCAAGCCCAGCCGGGGTGCGAGCCGGGCCGGGCCGGGCCGGGCCGTCGGGCTACCCGGCCCATGAACAGGTCTAGTTTCTCCTATGCTATCAATACCGACTACGAGTCCGGCTTCAGCCCAGGCTCTTTTGGTCCACGCATTCGGAGGACGCGCCGCGTGTCCTCCAAAGCGTGTGACGTTCTGAAACGTGCGAAAGCCTTTAACCCCCGTTAATAGCCTCTACTGTTAAGTGGGTTTACCTGGATGCGAATCTCTCTTCGAGTTCTCCTCTCCTTTGCCAGACGAGTCCGTACCTCACGCTCGCTTTTCTCCGCCCGGCGGCGACTGCAAAACCATCACCGCCGGCGATTATACAACCATCACCGGCGGCGGATCACCACCTGGGCAACATTCTTTCTTTCTTTCGGCAACCCCAACTCGCCCATCAATCAAGCTCAACAGTTGTATGATAATCTAATGGGTAATTTGGACGAGGCGATCTCATCTGCAAACATATGATCTTCCCATCCTACGTGACCCAAAATTATGTGTCTATTCTGCTTTAAGATGATATAATTCGTTGTTGTTACAGATGGACAAGGCTTCTGTTCTTGGAGACGCTATCAAGTATTTGAAGCAACTGCAAGAGCGAGTGAAGATATTAGAGGAACAGACGGTCAAGAAAAGAGTGGAATCTGTGGTGTTAGTCAAGAGATCTCATATCTCGGCCGATGATGACAATTCTTCCGATGAGAATAACTTGGATGGGGGTCGCTCCGATGATGAGGCGGCACTCCCGGAAATAGAAGCGAGAGTGTCGGACAAGGACGTGCTCATAAGAGTTCACTGTGAGAAACAGAAAGGAGTTGTTGCCAAGGCACTGGCCGAGATAGAGAAACTCCACCTTACTGTTGTCAACACTCAACAGCAGCGTCATCCCCTTTGGGAAATCAGCTCTCAATATCACCATAGTTGCTGTGGTAAGTCCATCCATCACCGTCGCCGAATCAATTAATTTATTATTGTTGCTTTTATCTTGAAAATTCTGCTTTTCGAAGCCATAATTTGATTTCTCATTCTTTGTTCAATCTTTAAAAGAAGAGAACCGTTTCTGATTAATTATTGTAGATGGAACCCGAGTTCTCCATGAAAGTGAAGGATCTTGTGAGGCATCTCCATTCAGCTTTTAGACAATTTATGTAAGAAGAAGAATAATAAGACGAAGAAAGAAGAAAGAAGAAGGAAGAAGAAATGTGTTATGAAGGCTCAGTTACAATTGGTTTTAATCAAAGTGTATAGAAGGATATCTTTTTTTGGCTTCTTCGTGGGTAGAAGCTTAAAGATGAGGAATTAGATGATGGTGGGTGGCTTACGGGCAGCCAGCTTAAGGTCCTCCATTTTTTCTTCATAAAGAAGTAATCCAGTAAAAGAAATCTGAAGAAATAAAACAAGGCCTGCAATTCTGCTGCACACACAAACACATATATATATATATATATATATTCAGACCATTCACCATTTGTTTATCCCCTTGTTGGCCCTGAGGTTTCTTTGTTCGTCCATTTGCTGTGGTCTGTCTGTTTTTTTGCACAGTCGACTTGTTGACCGATTTATGTTGGGCTGTGGTTTGTCTGTCTTGATCAGCTGGCGGTGATGGTTGTGTAGTCGCCGGCGGTGATGGTTTTACAGCCGCCGTTGGGCGGAGAGGAGCGAGCGTGAGGTTCGGACTCGTTTGGCAGAGGAGAGGAGAGAGAACTCGAAGAGAGACTCGCGTCCAGGTTAAACTCACTAACGGTAGAAACTACTAACGGGGGTTAAAGCCCTTCGCACGTTTCAGAACGTCACACGCTTCGAAGGATACGCGGCACGTCCTCCGAATGCACGAAACGATTCGCGGACCAAAAGAGCCTGCACTGAAGTCGGACTCATCAATAAAGAGCCTGGACTGAAGTCGGACTCATCAATACCACACATGCAATCTGTAATAAACGTCTATTTCATTATTAATTAATAATGGTCTTCTGAATAACAAGAGGTCTTTCCTACACAAGAAAAGAAAAAAAAAAGAATAAATTATAAAGACCCCTTGTATTATGGGTCTGTGACAAAGATTCCCTGTATTTTGTTTTGCAATAAAAACTCCCCTTTATTATAATTGTGAGACAAAAACTCCCTTCTATCAACCTTCTCTCCAATATTACAAACCCCGTAGTATAGGGGTCTCTTTGTCACATAAAGCAAAGGTAGAGGATATTATTAGTTATAAGAATAAAAATATTGAGATAAAAGAAAAATATCACCTTCCATTTTGGCTTTTGTAAAGATTCTTGTGAAAACATTTTGGAAAAGACAAGGAAAAAATTGACATTTGATTTTGTGTGATTTGAAGGGTTTTGTCCTTTTTTTTTTAAATCCTTTAAGTTTACTCCACGTGTAAGGGCGGCCACCTTAAAATTTATTAATTATTATCTTAAAGGAAGAAAGGGGGACGTAATTATTTGCCTTTTGCCGCAAAGCTAACAAAGAAAATGCATTTCCTTTTCCATTCACCCACACCCAGCACAAGGCTTAAACAAAAATGAGAAGGGAAAAAACATTAATTATTTATTATTATTATTATTATTATTATTATTAATATTATTAATTCTGATGAAGCACGAATTGGATGCTTCCTTCTAGAGGATGACTTGATACTTGATGTGTACGAGTAAGTTGTTCTGCAAAATAGTGAGTTTTGAGAATTCAGAGTGGCTAATTCGGTGAGGTCGCTCCGATGCTTAAGTTAGTATTCTTATAACCAGTGTTTACGAACCGCCATTGACCCAAATGGTCGGACCATTCGGTCCAGGAACCGTCCAAGCAACTGGTTCCGTTTTTGCATAAACCTGGAATCTGGTCAAAAACCATTGAAAAAATCAACAAAATGTTGACCCAGATGGTTGAATCGTCGACCCATTCAACGGTTTTTGACCTTTTTTATTTTTTAATTATTTTTTTTTATTTTTTAAATTTTCTTGTCAAAATGAGCCATCCGTTTGAACCGGACGATCAGACCATTGACCCGAAAATCGGTGACCAAAATGGTTCCATTTTTTGGTCATTTTTAAAACATTGCTTGTAGTAGATGCGAGCTGAAAGTGAGCTAGAGTGCTAGTGTGCAAGTGATATATGCGTACCTGGGCCCCGGGGAGGTTGCTACATTTATATATAGAGCTGCTGTGAACCTCACAGAACAGTCCAGGATCTTCGGCCTGGATGGATGAGGTCAATTTCCATTTTATCCGAGGAGTATTGTATTAGTTAAGGAGGTCTATCGTCTCCGCCAGATCTTGGCGGGGAGAGGATAAGGCTTGCTGTTATGCAACGTGATCCCGCGAGGTTCAGAGTTCATTGGGCAGCTTTTGGAGTGGATGACATGTCACTCTGGGTCTTGAGCCCCTAGCTGAATTAGGTGCCGAGATGCCTTTATGCCAAGGTGACCGAATACCTGAGCTCTAACTTTTGCTGACTGAGCTCTTTTCGCTGAGTTGTCATCCTTTAGGCAGATAACGTCCACGTAACCTTTACTTACTAGGTCGTGCCAAATCACCCTCCATCAATTGCCTCCACTCCTCGTGCCAAGGGTTCTAACCCGGCGTGGGGAGTTCATGACGAGCCTAGGTGGACTTGGCATGAAGTCTAGGTGATATGGAGGGTGGACCGTTGGTCGGACTTGTTCAACCATTCGGCTCAATCAGAAAGTGACCCAGATCGCGTCTCGGCTACGTGCGGACGTCACAGTGTTCATAAACTCCATGGATGTCAAAGGACGCACTCAACCGATTTTGTCCTCGGGTAGAGTGCAATCGGTTTTCATGGGAGCCATCGGATCATATAGATCACAACCATTGATTGCCAGATGCGGTGGATTATAAACAGGGGCCGAAGGGCCCATTATCCTCACCATAAATTGTGTAACTAAGCTTTCTTGAGATCGCATTGAAGTCCTTCACCTTGCCATTCTCTCCCCTTGTGTCCGAGGTCGTTACCGACTTACTGCCTTCTTTGGTGAGCTCGTCTTCTTGTGCTAGTTAAATCATGTAAGTAAGCTTTTCTTTTTTTCTGTCCAATATGTTTAGCGTTAGCACAAATAGGCTACTTCATGATTCTAGTGAGCTTGAGGGTGCCAAGGTGTGGTCTTCATCTCCGACTGGTGAGGCTAGCTCTTTACTAAAGAGCTCCTCTTTTAACCTTTCAGGAGAAGTGCCTTTACCCAGAATCAGGCCAGCTCGATTTGAGGAACCCAAACCTTACGCAGAGTGGTCGACCTTCGGAGAGGGGGTCTCGTCTTCTACTCGAGGTCGGGATCTGGACAACTTCAGTCCTTCCACGATGACCTCAGACAGATTACTGTCCTTAATAGCTCATTACCGTCTCCCCAATACCCTCGTCTTCAGCATTCCTTTGGGTCAGTACCCTTGGGATCATGACCATTATGAGCTCACTGTCTTTGAGGAGCAGCACGTAGCTGGGTTGCACTTCCCGCTCCACCCCTTCATCATAGAAATTATTAAGTTTTTTAACGTCACCATCGATCAGTTTCACCTGAACTCCATCCGTACTATTGTTGGTACAATCTCTCTTCCACGAGTATAATCGACCTCTCTCCCTAGATACCTTTAGCTTGATTTGTTTCATTAAGAAAATTTCTTCTTGTCTGCTCGGTGACACCCGGAAAAGTTACTATTTATCACCTCACTCCGGGTTCAAGGTTTTGTTTGGTAACCCGAACAAGGTATCGACTTGGAAGAGAAGGTACTTTTTTGTTCGGAACCCCGAAGGATGGCCATTCCCGACTCAATGGCAAGTGGCCATTAAAGACCCCAGGGTGAGGCTGAATGCAGAGACCAGGGCAGTCATCCATTCTTGGAGGGACCTTGGCCTAGAGATGGAAGATTTCCTGGCCGAGGAGAAGCTTGTGTGAGCTGGGTTGAGTCCTCCTAGTAGACCTCTATCTTGGCACACACATTACTTCTCTCTTTTTCTCTTATTTGCGCTTACTTCAGTTCGTAGCTGACTGGAAAAAATTTCCCCTTTTTTTTTGTAGGAGCTATGACGGGTGTCGACGCCGCTAACCTCTTGAAGAGTGTTCAAAAGGGGAAGAAGAGAAAGGCCTAAAAAAGATCCTATCGAGAGGAGGCTACCTCTTCGGTTCTTGCTAAACCCGAAGTCGTAGCACTAAAGCCTACAACTGCCAAGCTCCCAGGGGAGGATGTTCATCCCCATCCTCCGGTTGTTGACCTAAAAGAAGATCAAGGTGAGGAGACCCCACCCCGTGAGCCTGAAGGTACTTTAGTGCCCGAGTCTCAGCCCCCCTCAACAAAGGAAAGCATAGTGACTCTGAGGCTCGGGCTCCTTATGAGCAAAGACACAGTGTTTCTTGTGGAGGTCGCGGAGTGGGATGACATGCCAACAAGTTAGCTCGGAGGAAGAGCAGCCAGTTACTGTATGGTGGTAAGTAACCTACCTCTTCATCTATTTTCTTATCCTTTTTTTCAATGATACTTACGCTTGTTTTTCTTTTTAGGTGAATTCTGCTATCCACTCGCTAGTCTATCAATCTAAGATCCACTAGAAGTGAGCTCGGGAGGCCGAAGAGAATGTCCAAAAGCTTTACCACGATCTGAATTTAGCTCGGGGTGAAATTTTTAGGGAGAAAAAAGGAGCTCGGAGCCAAGAGGAGCTGATTCTACTGCTAACGTAGGAGAAGAAGAAATTCAAGGGGGAGAAGGAAGCTCTCCATTGGGAGAATGAAAACCTTGAGGCAATGATCAAGGAGCGCACCAAAATCTTTGACATTGCAATTCAGGAGGCGAAGATTCAGGAAAGAGATCGTGCCATCAAGGAGTTTAAGGAGTCCCCTGAGTTTCATGATCTCCAAGTCGAGTATGGTTCTGGCTCGTATCGATCAGGCTTCAAGCTCTGCAGGTGGCTGGTGTGGCAGAAGTTCCCTAAGCTTAACCTCGGATTTGTCTCCATGTCTTCTATTACTCTAGAGATGGCAAAGGAGGCCGACGAGGAACCTAACTCCTCAGAAGGTGAAAGTGATGATGAACTCCTCGAAGTGAGGCTGTCATAGGAGGCAGGCCGAGACGATATGGAGGTGGACCACATGGAGACCGACTTACCTATTAGAGGAGATTCTGGAAAGTCTGATGTCTGAACTTGCCTCTTTTCTTGGACCCCCCATATATAGTGTATGTCCTAGGCCCCCGAACTTGATTGTAGTAGCAATTGCTTTCTTTTCTATATGCTGCTTTTTTTTGCCATGTACCCAGAACTTTTGTTAATGAAGCATAGTGATTCAAAAAACCTCATGTGTGCAAAAAATTTTCTAAGTGTTGGTTATCCTGAAGTGCCAAGCTAACGAGTTGGGCTCCAAGTAGGAATTACCCGATATTGTTGTACGTCGAGGTGGATAGACATTGTAGGGTATATACCCGATCTATCTATGCGCAGGCTACTCACTTGCCCAAGCCAAAGTGGAGACTAGGACTTGTTGCGCCTATTCCGAAGAGGCGATTATGACTTATTACACATATGCTGAGGAAGCAACTAGGACTTATATGCTCAGGCCAAAGAGGCAATTGGGAATTGTCTGCCTATGCCGAAGAGGCGACTAGGACTTATGTAGTACTGAGATCTTCTGTCAGCTCGGCACTATGGTCCTTAGGCTTCTGGGAGTGACTCATAGTCCCCTCTCCAACTAAACATTTTTTTGACCAGTTCGGTGGTCCCATGAACTTAGAAGGAATTTTACATTGGATTCGTAAACTCAGAAGTAGTACCTTCTTAGGTTGTCGATGTTCCATGCTCGAGGTACCTACTTCCCTTCCAAAGTCTCGAGTTCATACGTGCCTTCCCCGAACACCCACCTTACACGGTACAGACCTTCCTAATTCAGTCTGAGCTTACCCACGCCGGGCTCAAGTACCATAACTTTCCAGAGAACTAGGTCGCTGACACAAAACTGCCGCTTCTTGACCTAGGCGTAATAGTACCAAGCTACTCTCTGCTGGTATGCCGCAG